ATTCCCAGAGCAGCACCAATGGTGAGCACCAAAACTTGTGTTTGACTGACATTGCGATTCATGGATTTGATTGTATTGTATATGCTTCCATCCATGGTCATTATCCCAAGACCTTTTTATCTTGCCCTGCTCTGGCTTGTGGAACCATGTCTAGACTCTTCTCCCTTTAACATTACCAAGTAGGCTGGGAAAGATACCTGTCCTCACCTTCCCCTACAAAAAGATGCTCCAGTCTGATGTGGTAAAGTTTGGCTCCAGACCTTGACCAATGGTCCATTCCTGCAGATAGCAGAAAGGTCAATAATCTTAGGTATTCCATGGGTCAGCACCAGGATGCCCATCGATAAGAAAATACAGGATGATCCCCAGTTCCTCTAGAATCAGCATCACTACTTACGTCCTCTCAGATAATATCTGTGTCTGTTTCCTTTGTCTCTGGAAACCCTGACTCCCAAAGACATGAAACAATTACAGTTAAGGCTGCAGAGAAGCAATGCTGATCTTGTCGCTGGAAACATGAATATTGACAGTATCTTAATAGTCTTTCTTATTGTCCTGATGGAATGCCTAGCAAGAAGCAACTTAAGGAAAGAAGGGCTTCTATTGGCTTATGGGTAGGAAGGCAGAGCAGCTGGAGTGGGGGTGGTAACTGATTCCATCAGGAAGCAGAGAGAGATAAATGCCAGTGCTCGGCTCACTTTCTCCCGCGCCATAGTCTCACCCCAGCCCCTGGAATGCTGCCACCTACATTCAAGGTAGGCTGTCTCTTCAGTTCAACCTCTCGGGAAAAGGCAGGTGTTGTCAGAGGCTGGTGTTTCAGCTGATTCTAAGTTCCACAAACCAGGGCAGCATCAAATTAAGAAGAAACGGGAGAAGGATGGTAGGGAGGGCAGGGATGTTTCTAGCCTTGACAGTGGACGAAACCCCTGGTAACAGCAAACGCAGTGCTGCCGTAAGGTCACAGCACACACCCATCTGAAGGAGTTTTAAAAGCAGAATCTTTCTGACCTACAGACATGAGTTCTAGTCCTTTGAGGTGTGACTTCAGTCTCTGCTGCCACTGTCATGGGGACAGGATTGGCTCTGAGGCTTTCTTTCGGGAAGACATCAGACTCATCCCTAGGAGTCAGTCATTCACTGGGAGACTTTCTTAAGCCTGGGATCTGAGTGTGAGAAGTACATGCCTTTTCAGTTCCCCAGTCTGCTGATCAGATGCTCACATGGGGAGCGTTCGGAACTACGCAAATCCATCTAAGAAGGGCACCGACAGTGGCACAGGGTATTGTCAACAAGCCAACAGCATATGATCCCCCAAACAGTTCTAACACCCAGCAAAGCAATCTAAAGACTCCTACGGTTTACAGACAGGCCTCCAGCTTGACACAATTCTCAAATGTCCGCCCCTGGAATTGGGGTTCCCATAGATAGAGTGTCATGTTCACTGGCCCTGTGTCTGAGACAATGATTCAAAAGAAAGGTACCTGGGTTCTTTTGATGTGCAAGTCACTGTCAAGCTGCTTCCGAGAGCAATGAAAGAGCCAAGAAGGCATCTTTAACCTCTTGAGAGATGTCGCAGGGTCTGTTGCACAAATACTGGCTTCTGTCGTCTGCTTGAGCTTTGCCTCACTCAACTCAAGAGGAGGTGACAACCCACCAGCTCACCAGCATGTACACACAGGAGCCCTGCTAAATGCCTGATCTCATCTCTCATAGCTTTACTTGGGGAGCCTGCAGGAGCAGACAGGTATGCTTACTGTACCTGCGATTTGAAAAAAGGTAGCAGCCGTAGCGTTTGAACATATATTTATTACTTTCTATACAGCTTCTGAGGGATTGTAAAAAACATTTCCTGAGTATCAAGCACACATTTTATTATCCCAATAAAGCCTAGGAGCCGTCTGATAGTGTCCTAGCATTGAAGACCATCTCCAGGTGACAGTTCTTTACTGTCACTAACACCTAGCCAGCAGTCATTAAGTTCACTGTGAAAACAGGGCTCCTGGTGCAGAGAAAACTATAGAAGAAGCTTTCCAAACTTCAGGCTGTATTTTTATTTAATAAATCGAGGTTCCGTGAAACAAAGCATACATTTTTACACACATGAAAAGAAGCGTTGACATGATTTTCCACATTCGATAATGAATAAATATACCAAGAACTGCATGTGTGCCCATGAACCCTTATTGCGTGATATTTCACACATGTCTGAGTGAGCCTGGGTGGTCTGGGGGGGTATCCACACACAAACACATTTTGTTCCTGAGTTATTAATACTTTGGTTTTATTAACCTTATTAAAAACTTGGTTTGTAAAAGGAAAAAAATTCAGGCGATATCAATAGCCAGAATATTATTTCCCAATTCGGTTCCTTTTTCATTAGCGTTTCATTTTAACCAACCTGAGAGAAAGAGAGACTGAGTGTCACCTTGCCATCGCCCGGTTCACAACACTGGAGAGACCGTGGCATTGTCGATATCTCTCTCTCTCTCTCTCTCTCTCTCTCTCCCTCTCTTGTATTTTTAAGTTTCAACTAAGCAATGACTGAGAGAGAAGGGTGTTCCAAATTCCACCAGCAAGCATTTTTCTCCGACTCTATACAATTTTGATTTGTTAGAAGTGCTTAAGATAGAAAAACCCCACCCCACACTGAAGAAGAGCAAAGACCTAAGAGAGCTGCTGGCTGGGAATCCACAAAAGGCTGGCCACCGTGGCCTGGGATGAAATGCCTAGCTCCTGGGTCAGTGGTTCTCAACCTGTGGGTCAGGAGCCCTTTGGGGGTCGCATATCAGATATTTACATTACAATTCGTAACAGTAGCAAAATTACAATTACAAAGTAGCAACACAGTAAGTTTGTGAGTGGGGGTCACCACAACATGAAGGGAACCCCTATCTTTAGTGGCAGCTCTATGTTCCATGCAACGTCCCCACCCCTCATCCTCAGGCTGAACTGAGCCCTGGGCTGCTTGAGACCTGTGAGGAGGCTTCTCTCTTCCTCCTCGGCTATGACCTCCGCCTCGTGGAGGAAGGGAGGAGGGGAGAGGAGAAGACAGAGTGAGAAAGAGAAACATACAGACACAAAAGGGGGGAGGGGGCTGGGCTGGACACTGGAAGGCTTCTGTCAGGGAAAACACCCTTTGGTTTTAGGGAGTGGACAATACCACGTGGTTTATTTAAGCCAGACTTTAAAGGGGTTCCGAGCTGGGGGTGGCGTGGAAGGGGGACTCCTCACCCTGGGTGATACAGGGTGGCAAAACTGACCTAGTTTTTCTGTACTCTTTCACCGCAAGTCCCCAGAAAAGCCACCCCAGGCAGGCAGGAACCTGAGGTCTGGGGGTTCTCTTTTGCTCCTAAAATTAGCTGTAAATTTTTAAAAGAAGAAAGCAGGCTACTTTGGGGCATTGAATAAAATGTGGTCTTCCCAGAAGGCAGGACAGAAGGCACGCAGCCTGGGTCCGGCTGGGCACAGTGACTGAAGCTTTAACTAGCCTCTGAAGCCAGAGAGCCTTTAGGGAACCATCCTCTGCAGTGGGCCTGCTCGCCATGGAGCATTGTTCCCGGTGCTGCTGGTGGCTGGCGCTGGATGTCCCCAAGAGCAGGGAACCAGGTCTTTGGTGAGAGGGCAAGAGGTGTCATACACAGCCCTTCCAGCTTCCCAAGACAGTGGTCTCAGCCCGCGGGCCCCACCTCGTGGCCCGCCCGCCTGCCCCACAGGAGCTGCTGAAGCTGAGGAGTCGCTGGCCCCAGGTTCAACTTCAATAAGACCTAACCAGCCCTTGATCACAGGGCTCCTCTGACAGCCATGCTCAAGCCCGGCCTAGTTGAGCCCGGGTCACCTGGGAATAGGTTCAAAGGCAAGGAAGCTGTAAACCACCTCCAGGCCCCAGCTAGAGCGGCCTGGCGAACAAAGAGACCCCAAGCACTTCAAACGCGCTGGCGCTGAGCGTCCAGATGGCAAAAAGGCCGTGGTCGGTGATGTCTGTTCACCAAGGCCTGGCCCAATGTTCTGCATCCCTGAGCCCCCCTGCCGAAGCTACCCACCAGTGCCCAGAGCAGGGGACTTCAGGAAGGGCCTGCCTTTCCCTATTCTCCGAGTTCTGGGTTCACCACCCGCTCGCAAACGAAGCAGAGTGCAGAGACTGAGGCTGAGCCCTAAACCCGGACCCAGCACTCGGGGCAGGGCCAGGCAGGCGGGCGTGGCAGGCACCCGGCGCTCCCGCAGAGGCTCGCTGTGGTACTTAGGCTTAAGGCATTTAGAGGTAGGTTCTGAAAAGGTGTCCAAACCGAAGTTCAGCCAGAAGGTCGAAATTAAAAAGGGTCCCCCAACTCTTCATTCTGGCCCGAGACGGGCGGCGTCTCTATGGATCCTAGAGGCGAGACTGTGGAGGTGGATATCTCTGCCGACACGCGAGTGTCTGCCCTGCGGGGTCATGGCTCTCTGCTTGCCTGCACAGCTCCACTCACTGCGGGCAGGATCGCGTTGCTGACGGTGAGGTCTCAGTGCGCGCCCCAAGTGTCTCCCAGCTGCGTCCTTGGTCCACGGGGCACATCTGTGCTTGGACTCGCCTCCTCCACCTCTCGTGGAGATCCTGAACCCGGGAAGGGTACAAATCTGCTCCACGAGGCTCAGACAAAGCCAGGGTCGGTTGAGTCTAGGATCAGTACCGCTGATTAGCGGCCCACGGCTTAGGTAGCAGCGCAGACTGCACGCACGGACCCGGCCTCCGAGATGCCGGCCATAGTTAGGGCCGAAAAAGAGGAGACAAAACTGAAAGTGCCGCCCCCCCTCTTTGGGGGGGGGGGCGGCCGGCGAACGCCCCAGAACTTGTCCTGCCCCTGGCCACCGTGGCCAATCAGCGCGCCGCCCTCGTTCCTGACAGCTATTTAGCAACCCAGCCGGGATAGAGTTTCCAAAAAAGTTAGAATAACTTCCTCTCCCGGAGACCTCGGTTTTGCACGAGCCGGCCTCGAAATTAGAGACTTTGCAGGCGACCCAGGAGCCTGTGCTCCGCGGTCGCGGGCTTGGCGAGTGGCGTGCGCTCGGCGCCCCCCAGCCCCACGCGCGCCGGGCGGGCGCCATGGAGGAGGGATCCAGCTCGCCTGTGTCCCCCGTGGACAGTCTGGGCACCAGCGAGGAAGAGCTGGAGCGGCAGCCCAAGCGCTTCGGCCGGAAGCGGCGCTACAGCAAGAAGTCAAGCGAAGATGGCAGCCCGACCCCAGGCAAGCGCGGCAAGAAGGGCAGTCCGAGCGCGCAGTCCTTCGAGGAGTTGCAGAGCCAGCGCATCCTGGCCAACGTGCGCGAACGTCAGCGCACCCAGTCGCTCAACGAGGCCTTCGCCGCGCTGCGCAAGATCATCCCCACGCTCCCCTCTGACAAGCTCAGCAAGATCCAGACGCTCAAGCTGGCCGCCAGGTACATAGACTTCCTCTACCAGGTTCTGCAGAGCGACGAGATGGACAATAAGATGACCAGCTGCAGCTACGTGGCTCACGAGCGTCTCAGCTACGCCTTCTCCGTGTGGCGCATGGAGGGAGCGTGGTCCATGTCCGCCTCCCACTAGCGCCGCGCCACCCACCTCCGGACCCGCACGCCAGGGTAGGTGCTGCGTGTGATGGGCACCCACTACGCACGGGATGGTGGGCGGGCGGGCCAGAGCATCCTTCATCGTGGAGATCCCTCAGGCCACCGCACGGGAAGGGTTGAGTTTCTCCACCCTGCAAGGATTGGTGGGAGATGGGAAAATTCCTCTGTCCCGGAGGCACGTCCGAGGCCTTTTGCCAGGGGCATCAGTTCGGAACCCTCGGGCTAGCGGCTCCCAAGCAGGGTCCTAATACACTTCTTGGGCAAATGGTCACACTTCCCATTTTTGTTGGTTGGGTGTCTATGGGTGACCCCGTGGGGAGCAGCTGTCAAAACGTCTTCTTCAGGCCAGCAAAGGCCGGGAGATGCTATGCCTTCTGGGTTGTGGCCCACTTGTTGCTTCGCGCGCATTCTGCGGCGCCACAGAGTCCACGCGTGGTGCAGGCAACCAGCTCTTTCTGACTGTAGTTCCGGCCCTCGCCTCGGAATGTAGAGCGTTCGAGCCCTATTTAGCCCGCCCATTAGGTACAATGATGTCGCCACAGAGTTTACCTGAGAAGGCAGGGAAGTTTCTGTCCTGCGCTGGGGCTCCAGGGTCACAGCCATGAGAAGCAAATTGCTGGGCTAGGAGCGCAGGAGACCCCAAGCACTCAGGCCTGGGTTTGTACAGCGACATGGAGTCGCAGGATGCAGGCAGGCAGGTGAATCTTATCTAGAGTTGGGCGCCTAGCCTACCAGTCTTAAAGACATAGAGGGGTCTTCCCGCGCTGCAGTAAGCAACCGCAAGGGATCCAGCGGGGTAACAGGTCTGAGCGTGGTGTGGTGGTGGAGGTGAAGAAGCAATGAGCGCTAGGCCCTGCCTGGGGAGAAAGGCACTGGACACCGCAGAGCCCTGGAAGGTGTGTTGCTCTCTGGAAGAGCATTTAGGACAGGACGTCCTGCGCCAGCTGCTTAGCAGACTCTCTAGGCAATCCCAAAGGCAATGTCTTCCAGGCAAGGCTGAGGGGCTCCTCTCTCTGGAGGCCTTGCTGCGATCTTTTGTGGGAGAGAGGTGTAAAAAATTATTCCTTCTTAATTTCCCTTCGATTTTCCCCCACACATCTTGTAATATTTCTTTTAAATGAAAGTCTCCACTTCACACAGAAGAAATTTAGATGAATCACGATCAGCATGGCCACCCATTGTCCTAAACATCTATTTCTATTTTTATCATTTTATAATATCTTGGAAGTTGCTGTTCTGGCTACAAAAGTTGGTCTCATACAATGGGTTTCCTTCCTTCCTTCTTTCCTTCTTTTCTTCCATCCTTTATTCTTATCACCAAAAATTGTTTTGATGAAATAACCCCCCGGAATCATGACCATTTTATAGTCCTTAAGAAGCGCTTTTAACCGAGTCACTTGTGGGAATCTTCCCCTGTGTCTGTCAAAAGCAGATGGGAATTGTCTCAGTCACGTATTTCTCTAAGAAAGCAAGTTTGGGTTGGCCAAGTATGCGAAGCTACGGAGGGATAATACATTAATTCTGGTTTTTGCTGCCTAAATTATGAGCGTCCATTAGTTAACTTCCACTCACGCTTCATCCCGCCGTGATTCACAGCACGCCTGAGGAAGCAGGAGCAGATGAAATACGCCATCTTTTTTATACACACACACACCACATTTGTTTAAGGAGAATGTCAACAGTATTATTGCTAAGATAGCCCTTCGGAAAATTATTGAAAGTCAACACCGGGAGATAGATATTACCCTGATACAAGAATTTATTGGAGACACTGAAAATTCAGTTTAAGATAATTCCTCTCTTCAAAAGCTTTGACCTAATCACACACTGCAATCAAATATGCTTTAAAACCCAAAATGCAGTATCTGTAATAAACAAATGAAAAATGTTAAGAGCTTATTTGGACAAAAAGGCATTAAACTATCAGATAACACATTGAGCTGGAAAGCAAGATACAGGCATGTTTACTTTTATATAATCGAAGACAACGACTAGCCAGGTAAGCTGGTGTCTGAACTCACAGAGGGCTCTTTCCAAATGCATCCACGTTTGATACACTGATGCTGGACCTGCCTTGGTCTAATTTATTACCCGTTGTTAAGGAATACCTTTGTGTTCTTGCTGTTAACCCATTCCTCTTAAGGAGCATAAATACATTACTTTAGTCTCATGGAAATGTTGCTAATTGCAATTAGTTATTTCTTTGTAACATTTCCAAGAAACATTCATTGTCTGCCTGGGGGCAGAGTGTCTCTAGACATTTCGGTAAAGTGTATATACTTTTAATGTTTATTGTGACATATTTCCCTTAACAACACAAAGCCTAAATTGTCCTTGACCATGGAGAGAAACATGGCCCAGTCCATGAAGCCCAGCTTATACTAAAGTTTATTTTGTCTTTCCTTGGCTGGGTGTTCAAAATAGGTGCCAGGAGTCTTTCCAGGCAGAGGGACTTGACTAACTGAAAGAAGTCTCCCAAGAGGCCCCAGAGTGTTTGTGAGATGCTGTAGACCCCTGAGCAGGGTCACTATCACCTGGCCTGGGACAGGGAAATGCAGCCATGTCTCGGCCATAATTTATTCTACGGTCTTCATCATGATTGTCTCCTATTCTGTCAACTCTGTATGGGTTTTCTTCTTCCACCACTGCACTTTCTTCCTTCTTTCCTTGCTTCCTTTCTTCCTTTTTTTCTTTTCTTCCCAAGCAAGGTTTGCTCCTATGGACAACATGTGTGTCCCCCAACACCTTTCAACCCTTGTCAGCTTCTCCTGAGCTCTGGAGGCTTGCTTTGCGGAGATGTTTGCTGCATCCGGGAAGCTAGTTAGTCTCCAAAGAAAACTCTTCCTGGAGAGGATCAGAAATGCAGAATTGCTGCAGGGCTTTTGTTTGTGGAGTAGACCAGACCAAACAGCTGAGTTACCTGAAATACCAGTGTGACTGTCTTAAGGAATTCCCTACCGTGAGAGTTGCTGGGAGGAGCTGAACTTCTTAAAGAGCAACAGCATTTCCCTGCCTTCCATCTGGATGGCGTGGGGACTGGAAGAGTGGCATTCTGAGGTCCTTTGAAAATATTGTCCTTCAGGGCGATTGTCTGAAAATGCCTCCCTTTCAAACAGGTTGTAAGCCTGGAAGCATTGCGTCTTTCCCGAGTAGAAGAGGCACAGATGCGGGGCTAATTTTGCCTGGCAAAGACATCATGAGGTCCACTCTTTGTATGCAGGGCACTATAACTCATAGCTGGATTTTAAATCTGGACTTTTAAAAAACTGATATTTTAATAAGCCAAGTTTAAAGGATGCACTCTGTGGCAGGTTTTCGGCTTAGTATCAGCATCCATCTAGTCTCCCTGGTGTCTTTAAGAGCCCAGTGAGTGGGGCAGGAGTGCGGGAGTGTGTTTGTTTCTTTTCTTGGGGAAGCAGAAGCGTGCTCCAGAAAGCAGAGCGAACACAAAGCTCTCCCCCAGCTGTGAGTTCATGAAGTAGGCTATAAAATTCAAAGAGATGGATAAATTACTGTAGCCAAGAAACGGAGAGGTGACTACAGAAGGAACAAGAAGGAAGGGACACATGCGTGGCTGTTTTTAAAAGTCAAGATGAGGCTCAGAAGTCAGACACTGCTTCAGAAGATATTGGGCATGGTCCCCTGAGCCCACACATGTCATAAAACTGCAGGGCACTGAACAAACACACACCATGCACACACAGGAATAAAATGATAACACCTGAAGGTCTAGGGGCTACAAAGTTTAGACTTTGAGAAGACGCCATCCTCAGGAGAAATGAGTAAAAGCACAGAACCTCCTGAAAAATTAAAGTCATCACAAAGTTAAAACATTTTAAAGTATTTATTGGCATATAATCATTTTCCATACACTGGGTTTCATGAAGACACTTTCTTTCAAGTATATCACATCTTTGGTTATATTCATTCCCTGTACCCTCCCACTTCTCCCAATTCCCCTTCCCAGTAAAAAAAATTAACCATATTCTATAAAAATTAATCTCTGGGCCGGGCAGTGGTGGCGCACGCCTTTTATCCCAGCATGTGGGAGGCAGAGGCAGGCGGATCTTTATGAATTCGAGGCCAACCTGATCTACAAGAGCTAGTTCCAGGAAAGGCTCCAAAGTTACAGAGAAACCCTGTTTCGAAAAACCAAAATAATAATAATAATAATAATAATAATAATCTCTGAATTTAAATGATCCAGTTTCATAAGGAATTATTACTATGTTTACTAAGTAATAAACTAAAAATCTATACAAACATACATTTTCCTTATTTGTGTTATTGGACTTCTGTATAGAACTTGAGGTCTTGATATAGTTTCAGTATGTAATTAATTCGAAGTTTCCAAGCAAAGAGTAGCATTCCAGAAACATCAATTCCAGCAGGAGCTGACTTCCAGACTAGTAGAGAAAGCACTTTGCAAATAGATTTGTGGACAATGTTGTCTGAAAGGGAAATGTGTCTACTTTTGAGGATGCTAAGATCCTATTGGCTCAACATTATATTCATCAAAGTCACGTAAAATTCTTAAGGCTATCAGCTGTGCAGTGGTGGTGTACTCTTTTAATCCCAGCACACGGGAGGCAGAGGCAGGCGGATGGATCTCTGTGAGTTCAAGATCAGCCTGGTCTACAGAGCAAGTTCCAGGACAGGTTCCAAAGCTATAGAGAAACCCTGTCTTGAAAGACAACAAACAAACAAAATGTTTAAAGATAATTTAGAGGGATTCACCAAATAATGTAAAGATTGAAGTTGCAGAGTTTGTGTGAGAGAGAGAGAAAGGAGAGAGAGAGAGAGAGAGAGAGAGAGAGAGAGAGAGAGAGGGAGAGGGAGACAGACAGAAACAGAGACACAGGATGAGATTTCAAATCATGAACCTTGTCTTGAGAACACATTCATGTTTCCATTCTGTAGCAAGCCTTCCGATGTGGTCTAGCTATGTTTAACTTGCCTTAATTTGTGTTTATTTGGATGAGAATGTGATGTTAGGGCTGTAATTTTCATGC